GCTCAGATTCGTGTCCTTTAAGTCAGTAATGCTATCTAACCATCTCATCCTTTGTCGCCCCCTTCTCCTCCAGCCTTCAGTCTTTCCCAGCATCAGGGTCTTTTCCAATGACTCGGCTCGTCACACCAGGTGGCCAAACTATTGCAGATTCAGTATCAGCATCAGTCCTTCCAATGAATATTCACAGTTGATTTCCTTTAGAACTGACTGGTTTGATCTCCTTGCAGTTCAAGGAACTCTCAAGAGTCTTCTCCAGCCCGACAATTCAAAAGCATCAATTCTTCCGGCGCTCAACCTTCTTTATCATCCAACTCTCACCTCCGTACATGGCTAATGGAAAAACCATACCTTTAAGTAGACAAACCTTTGTCAGCAAAGTGATGTCTCTGCTTTTTGATGCACTGTCTAGGTTTGTCAGAGCTTTCCTTCCAAGGATCAAATATCTTTGAATTTCAAGGCTGCAGTCACCATCTGCAGTGATTTTGGAGCCTAAGAAGATAAAACCTGTCACTGTTTCCACTTTTCTCGTTCTATTTGCTATGTGGTGATGAGACCAGATATCCAGAGCCAATCCTAACCCAATGCTGATTGTCCAGACCACTCAGCATGTTCTCTGCCATCTCTTTCCCTGTCAGCGGGTGGGGAGTGCTGGGGAAGTTACAGAGCCTTTGTCATTAACTGCAGCCAGACTTGGATAGACAGTGGGGTGCTATAAGACACAAGCTTTATTCCAGAGCCCCGCAGACTTCGGATATATTTTGCTAAGATGTGCTCCCCTGTCTTGTCACTCTTGCTACTGGGGATGGCTCGTGGATCTTCCCAGTGGCTTCAGAGGCGTCATGGACTGTGAGCACTGCCTCCTCAGTCACGACCTCCACTTTGACTCGCCCTCCACAACCTCCCAGCCTCGCTCAGATGCCTCCCTCCTGGGTGTGCACCACTGCTTTCCACCCCTCCCCTCTCACTTCCTCTCCGAATCACCCCTCAGCTTGTGCTTTTATCTGGCTGTCAGGAGACGGGTGTCTTTGGTGGGAGTCAATTTAGGGGGCGGGCGCTGAAGGCTGGCAAAGTGGAAAGGCTGATGGGGTGCGTGGAAGGACAGGCACAGGAGGGAGCTGGAGAGCGAAGCTTCTTTCCTGCTGCTCCTCATCAAGGCCTCTGGGAGACCCTGGCTGCCCCTGGGTGGTCCCAGAACCAGGTTTCCCTTGGGAGACAGTGATGTGGAAGCAGGGCCTTTGCCCTCCTGGAGGGGAGGGGTGACTTGCCAGCATCTTCCTGGGAACAGGAGTTCACCCAGACCAGTCCTGGGGGGTTCCCGAGCCTCACAGACCAAAGAGCAGGTGGTAGAAGAACTTGGGGTTTGGAATCAGCCTGGCTTTGAATTCAGCACTGCCCTCCCCTAGGGCTGAGGAGTGCTCACTTCATCCCCCACCCTACTTCTGCCTCTGCATCAGTAAAACCACACTTCCTAGGGTCCTGGTGAGGATGGCATGAGATGGCCCCATGACAAGGTGCATTGGTTCAGTTCTTAAAACTGTAATGAGACAGAGATTTTATTCACCAGCATCTCCCTTAGAAGGAGAAAGCTGGATTGTTGGCAAAATACTTTGGCCAGTGCTTTGGAACAGAAGCTGGAATTTAGGGAGAGCAGAACGGGGAAGGGCAGAATGGGGAAGATTATGCTCCCTGTTGGTTCTAGCGGCAAAGAACCTGCCTGCCAGTGAAGGAGACAAAAGACGTGGGTTTGATCCCTGGGTTGGGAAAATCCCCTGGAGGAGGGCATGGCAACCCACTATAGTATTTTTGCATGGAGAATCCCATGGACAGAGGGGCCTGGCAGGCTACAGTCCACGGGGTTACAAAGAGGCAGACGCGATCAAACACTCAGCACATGCTCCTACTAAGGATGTTTGGATGTGTATGAGGCTGTGAGATGCCGCCCTCTCCATAGCCACTGCCCCCACCCCCCATTGACTTTCTTTCAGTTCACAGAATACTTCTACAGAAGTGTATTTTTCATGGCAGTCCAGCTGGGTTGACATCCAGGTTGATGTGGGGCAGTGTGGAGGTAACACACATGAATGAGGTGCCCGGAAGCAGGGTCATCAATGGTAGGTGAGCCCAGAAATTCACGGAAACCGAGGGGAGGATTTCGGACCTCTAGAGGTCAAGGAATTGGAGTTTGGGCTAGGTTTAACAAGACTTTTGGGGGTCGGGGGTGACAGTGTCCTGTAATTTCCTAGCCCAACATCATCATAATCCTTTAGGAGAGAGAGAAACGGATTTAAATTAAGTGCTTTCTCAGGCAAGGTCACATAGCACCAAAGGTGAGAAAACTGGTTTTAAATTCCCTGTCGTCTGCTTCCAGTCCATGGCTGAAGCCTCTGAGCCAGCCCACCTGTCCATCATGAAAGGCTGCGGTCTCAGGTAACAGACGAGGAAATTAACCTCAAGAGATTGCACAATCTGCCCAAGGTCAGACCTGGGCTTAGTGCAGGGCACTTGCAGCGGGCCAGAGAAGCCAGCAGGGATCAGGCCACTGGCAGGGCCTCCAGGGCCGCAGGGAGTTGTTTTCCTTTTGGATAAATTACTTCACTTATCTGGGATGATCACCCCTCCTAATCCCATCTGCTAATTGTACTGAGGTGCCCCTCGATGCCAGCGGAGTAGGACTCATGTGACAGGACTGGGCACAGAACCCAGCCATCCTGCTCCCACACCCTCGCCTTGGCTTCATGGCTGCACCTGTTTCATGCTTGCGGAGCCCGGTTTCATTTGGTCACACTTCAAAGCATAATCTTACATATAAAGGCTAAATTTAGCTTTAATCAAATAATTGCTGAACATGAAATCATCAAATGATCATTAGCAACCTCGCTTATTGGTGACTAAGAAAGAATGCTCTAGGAAAAGAGGAATCAGTTACATAATTGAAACTTCCTGGAGATTACGAACATAATTCTGTGTGTGTATGATTGTTTTCTAATTTCAGAGAGCTTAACATTTATATCGGGTTCAGTTCAGTTCAGTCGCTCAGTTGTGTCTAACTCTCTGCGACCCCATGAACTGCAGCACACCAGGTTTCCCTGTCGATCAACAACTCCCAGAGCTTGCTCAAATTCATGTCCATCGAGTCAGTGATGCCATCGGGTGCCCTCTGAGAAACCGTGGAAACCCCACCGGCTGTGGAGAGAAAAAGGGTGACCCAAGAACGGTATGGTCTTCCCAGCTGGCACAGTGGTAAAGAATCTAGTTGCCGATGCAGGAGATGCAAGAGACATGGGTTCGATCCCAGGGTAGAAAAGATCCCCTGGAGAAGGAAATGGCAACCCACTCCAGTATTCTTGCCTGGAGAATCGCACGGACAGAGGAGCCTGGCGGGCTATAGTCCATGGAGTCACAGAGAGTCAGACACGACTGAGTGACTCAGTACACCACAAAGGTATTGGGGTACTGAGTGGGGTCATAGTCAAAGTAATAGAAAAGGGAAAAGATTTAGGGTGGCCAGGATTTGGTCTTGTGGGAATAAACCATTTCAGATGACTTGGGAGATGAGCTTCTAGAGGTTGGAAGCTCTGCTGTATCACCAAGCATTGAAGAGCACGGCTTAGTGCTTGCTAAATACCCACTTGCCACCCTTAGCATCTTTGTCATGAAGATAGAAATTAGCCTAGTTAAGCTTGGGTTCTGTAGAGGCAGCTGCTTACATGATTTTCCTACTCTGATCACCAGGAAGTCAACCATGAATGATCAAGCAGTGGCAGCCAGTCTAAGAAGATGACAACAGGATTTGTCCAGGATGGCTAAGCCGTCTCTGTGCTGAGCACCTGTGCAGGCAGAGATGCCATAGGCAGCACAAACACCCAGGCATATCTCCTCCAACTCTGCTTTCAGCAACATCACTTTGGTTGCTTAAATTGGCCGCGCTGGGATGATTTACACCATGAAAGTTAGTAATTTGGGGCTTTCCCTTATGCTGGAGAGCCGGTATTAAAAAAAAAAAAATCTACCAGCAAAACACCCAAGAGAATGGCTAAAATCGAAAAAACTGACAACATCAAATGCTGGTGAGGATGTGGAGCAACACGGTCTTACCATGTGATCCAGAAATCAAATCTCTAGTTATTTACTCAAATGAGCTGAAAACTTGATCATACAAAAACATGCATGCAGATATAGGGCATGATTCATAACTGCCAAAACTTGGAAGCAACCAAGATGTCTTTTAATAGTTGAATGGATCAACAAACTGTGGATGCCATAAGCTTCTTTGCCATTAACACGGTCGCTGCAAACATTTTTGCTGCGTAATTAATTGGCCATAAGCAATTTTGCCCTAAAAGATAAAATAACTGGTTGACAGTTTTTGGTTTGACAGTTTTTTTTTTTTTTTTTCAAAGAAACGCCAGCATTTATTGATTTCCTATATTTCCAAAAAAGCAAACACACAGTGTACCCCACAGGAAACGGGCCTGGCCAGTGCCCGGTTCTTCCAGACACGGCAGGGGGGGGAGCAGGCTGCAAAGGGATCCCCCTTTCCCTCCCATGCCCCCAGCTCCGCTTGGCCCCGGGCAGACAGGAGCAGCTCTGCATCCGGTCCGGGAGCGGTCTGCGCTGCTGGGCAGGGCCCACCAGGTGGGTCTGGCAGCCAGTGGCCTGTCTGCCGTAAGCCCTGGGTCGGGGCTGCACAGGGAGACCCTCGTGGCCTGGGCCCTCCCCCACTGGACCATCCTGTTTCGGCCGTCGAGCCCGGCAGCGTGAGGCCAACACATCCTTCCAGCCCAAGCTGGGCCCGCAGACCCCGAGCTCCTTCTCTAGAGCTTCATCCACAGCACCACCCACCCTGCAAAGGTCTGCCTCTTCCAAGCCTGGCCAGCCGGCAGCAGAAGTCACAAGATGGCTAAACCAGGCCTGGCCTGACTGTCCACCCGATCTACTGAAACGCCACCCTCTGGCAGAGGCGGGGGCCCTCCCCAGCACGGCCACAGACCCGCTGCTCCTCAGCTACTTCCATCTAGCCCTGACTGGACTAGCGGCTCTCTCTCCCTGGAGCCCCTAAAGCCGGGGACCCCTAAAGCTGGGGACCCCGGAGCCCCTCTTTCCTCCAGGAGAACGTGGGCCACGTGGATGGGGTGTGGTCTCTCGTCACCGATGTATCCTGAGGGCTGACAACACCGCCTGGCTCCTCGCGTGTTTCTTGGAGAAACAAACTCCCCTAGGGCCCTGCGAGTGGCAGAGGGAACGGTCTTCTGGGACCAGCTCCCCATGGGCCTGTGAGGGAGGCGGGCCTGCATCACGGGGGACGGGGCGGACGTGGCACAGACCCCAGCAGCAGAGAACCACGCGGCTGCGTGGCGGGCCATCGCGGGTCTGCGCCCGACCTGGCCAGTCCAGCTGTCCTCTGCGGCAGGGGGGTCCTCGGGGCTGGGGTCTGACTGCCGGGGTGAGCAGTGGGGCTGGACAGGGGGCAGGGGGGGGACACGCGGCAGGAGGAGGTGGGACGTGGGCAAGGCCAGGCGTCCAGTCCCCACTGATCGCCGCTGGCACCGCTGGGCAGGGGGGCTGCGGCCAGGCGGCGCTGTGTCCTGCCCGGTCTCAGCCCGCAAATGGGGGGGCTCTTGCCAAGCCCTCTCCGGGGCCTGCTCTATGCTCATGCGAGTCTGGGGGTCTGGGAGCCACTGCCCCTGGCGGGCTTCTCACCACCCTCTCTGCAGTTGTCACGGGCAGCTGGGCGTCAGGGAAGGCGGGGCGGCCTCTGGCTGATCCCTGACACGCTCCCTTTCCTAGCCAAGCACCCTCCTCCGAAACCCTGCCTTGCTGGGGTCTCAGCGGGTCTCAGGACCCACGGGTCAACCCCTGGCCTACGCGGGCCAGCTCCTCTGCTGGGAATCCGAGGATGGAGCCGCCGCTCTCCCACCACTCTGCCTCCTTCCCCCCAACATGTGGATTACTCGCCCCTGCAGAGGAGGGCTCCCAGGTGAGCCTGCTCTGATGGGACACGGCCCGCGGGAGCGGTCGGCGCCCCTGGCACCTACTCTCCGGAAAGACTGCACACAGCAAAGACAGCCTGCCTGTCCTGGCCCACCCAGCGGACCCCACGGCCGCCCAGCCCTGGCCCCAGGCCCTGCGGGAGGGCCGCTCAGCCACGCCAGATTTCCCAGGAGATACACTGAGCCCCGCCAACCTCCCTTCCTGCAAAGCCGCCTCTTGGGGTGGGTGGAGGGATGAGCCCCAGTCACTCCCCCGCCCTGACTCTGCAGGACTCCCCGTGGGCCTGGTGCTGGTGAGGCCGCGGCACCCACACTTTGGGATGACGGGGAGCGAAACCCCAAGCACAGTCACCCGCGTCTGTGAGAGTGAGTCCCACCACCACCGTGAGCTCAGCCTGCAGTTCCCCGAGTCCTGCAGTTCCAGGGCCTGCCTTCCACACACACGCACGCACACACACGCGTGCACTCACACACACACTATACATGTGTATATATGCCGTTCCTCAGAGAAAGAAGTATTAACATCAAGACATAAGCTCCCTTAACTCAAGAAAGCCCCCCTGCTCCCCTCCCCCACCCCCACTGCCTGTCAGTTCCCCCAAGGAAAAGAAAGAATCTAAAAATATTTTCATCCACCGCAGCGTCCCTGCGTGCTCTCGGCTGGCTTTGAACACCTCCAAACGCTGTGCAGGTGGACAGACGTGCCTGCAGTAAGGCCCGGGTCTGCTCCGCTGGTCGGATCACGTCTGCAAGCTGAATGTGGGCGGGCGGCCCCTCTCAGAATCGGGAGGTGAAGTTCCTGAGGCTGTTGGCCCCGGCTAAGGTCCCCAGCATGCTCCTATCAAAACCTTGCTGCCTGAGGAGCCCCTGCAGCTCCCTGCTGGACCACATGTCGGACAGGAGGAGGCGGGCGGCCTCCGCAGCCTTGGGGGAGGTGCTGCTGCGGCACAGGTTGATGACGTTGTTGATCATGCTGCTGGAGAAGTGCTGCTTGGCCATGCCCGGCAGGGAGGCCATCAGGTTCCTCACGGTGTAGCAGGCCGAGGCCAGGATGTCCTCCGAGTTGCTGGTGTTGCCGGTGTGACTGGTGAGGAGTCTGGTCACCTCTGGGAACACTTGGGTCCCCATCACCCTGTGCAGCGCGGGGTGGCGGGACATGTTGCTCAGCAGCGAGGCTCCGGACCGCACCACATCCGAGTTGCCGGACTGCAGCAGGCGGGCGATGTGGGGCAGGCCCTTCTCCTTCAGCCCGATCAGCTGGCTCATGCCGCTGGACATCAGCCCTTTGCTGGCAGTCAGGTTCTGCAGGGCACCCGCGCAGGCCTCCAGGGTGGCGTCCTTCTTGCTCTTGCCCATGAGGTTCAGGTAGGTGCGGATGGCATCTGAGTGGTACAGCCAGCTGCTGCCCTTGGGGTTGGGCTCTTCCTCAGGAAGTGGGCAGTCGTAGTTGTTGTTCGTCATGCGGTCGCTCTTGTTGCTGAAGCAGCCGGTGGAGGACTTATCGGTGTAGGCGTTGCGGGCGGTGTACTCCAGCTGGCGGTAGCGTGTGGGCACCTCGGCGTCCAGGCGGTAGGAGAGGTTGTGAAGGACGCACATGCAGTTCTTCACTGACTTGTCGTCACAGCGGTTGGCTGCCACGCAGTTCTGGACGTAGGCCATGAGCGAGTCGATGAGCCCCATGTAGTTGCGCATGGTCTGGCCTGGTTTGACAGTTTAATTTCAACTGGTTCAGTTATGTTATTGACCTTATTGATGATTTTATCAAGCTGACAGATGACAACAAATTGCTCCAATAGTTGGTTTCTTATTTTGAAACACATTACATACACCAGAGGAGAAAGAGGCTGAGACCTTGAAGGCACAAACTTGGACCCACATTTCCCACTGAACTTTGGAATGTCTTCCAGTGGACATGTGACAATATGCCAAGAGTACCCAGCAGTACAAAGCTCAGGTACAAATACTTTATTTTGTGGAATCTGATACCTCTCTTACTAAGGAAGATATTTTAGTGAAAAAAAAAAAAAAAACCTGTGCAAAGCCAAAGGAGGAGAAAAATCAGCAAGAAGAAAAAGTATAAAATACTGTGTATAAAAGACTTGGAAGACAGGTGCTTAGACAAGCAAAACCCAAAATGAAATCAGTTATTTATGGAGTATTGTCATGAAGCTACACATATTTTAAATGTATTAAAATCTTTTGCATTTCACAATGAAGTCTTTTAAATTTTGTTATTCATTTCTTACGTTTCATTATGTCCTTTATAATGTCCCTCTTTTATGTTTTGTTATTTTCTTTCTTTCGAGAAAATTGCCTTAAGGCCAGTTAGTTGTGTGGTGAAATGTTTGCAACCATGCTTATGGCAAGGATGTTTACAGGGCAAGAGCCTGGAACCATGGAATACAAAATTTGGAAGACAAACAACGGAACATCATTAAGTGATAAAAAAAAAATGAGTTATCAAGCTGCGAGAGGACACGGAGGAAGCTCAAACATGTGTTTGTGTACATTGTGAAATGAGAGAAGCCAGTCTGAAATGTCATTCAGGAAAAGGCAGAACTACGGAGACGTAATAAAACATCAGTTACCTGGGGCCGGGGAGAGGTGGAGAGAGATGAATAGTTGGAGCACAGGAGATTTTTCAGGGCAGTGAAACTATTCTGTATGATACAGTAATGGTGTAAACTCACCATTATATATTTGTCAAAACTCATAAAACTGTGCACACAAAGAATGAACCCTAAGGTAAAACTATGGACTTTGGTTAAAGGTAATATGTCAGTGCTGGCTCATCAGCCTGACCACACTGCAAGCTTATCACATGGAGGGAAGATGTCAATAACGGGTCTATGGTGTTGATTGGTTGGGGAGGGCTTTCTGCTCAATTTTTCTGTGGACCTAAAACTACTCTGTGTGCTCGGTCATGTCCAACACTTTGCAGCCCTGTGGACTGTGGCCCGCCAGGCTCTCCTGCACATGGGGTTTTCCAGGCCAGACGCTGAGTTAGAAGAGAAGCGTCCTGGCCTTCAGAGCTGGGTCATGCTGTGCCCCTACCAGACATAAAACACCAGCATGAAGGTCCTCCAATTAGCAATAATCGCACCTCGGATTAACCTCATTGGCTACAATACTGCCACTGCGCAAAGCTGAGGGTCCTCCAACACCGTGAGTTTCCAGGCAAGGCCGGGCCACTTCCTAACCGTGTTTGAACACAGACAAAGTCATGGCTTCACAAACAGGGCCAAACACCCCCTTTTCTTGTCTGAGAGGACTGCCTGCTTCGTCTCTCCTCCTTCCATTCCCTCTTCCCCAGAGAGATGACCTACTGGGATACCAAGTCATAGACTTGCCTCCAGTTTCTGAGGGCAGCCAGTCCCTTCTCCAAAGCACACGTTAAAGCATACATCCTGCAACAGCTCTCTCTAACCGCCCCTCACTGACACACCCCAAAATGTTGCCTCCTGGGGTTTGGCCTCTTTACCCGCACAAGTTATGAACCTAGTTCGTGTGTTTGGTGGCCTTTGGCTGAAGAGCTTTGACAGAAAGACAGCAAAAGTAACATTTAACCTCTTCTTACATCTAATTTGTGGCTCAGATGGTAAAGAATCTGCCTGCAATGTGGAAGACCCAGGTTCAATCCCTGGGTTGGGAATATCCCCTAGAAAAAGACATGGCTACCCACTCCAGTATTCTTGTGAAGAATTACATGGACAGAGGAGCCTGGCAGGCTACAGTCCATGGGGTCACAAAGAGTGTGACCTGACTAAGCGACCAACACTTTCACATATAATTTGCCCTTGGCGCCCTTTTCAGAACTTTTTTTTATTCCACCCAGATTATAAACTTTTTCTTCTTTTCCTCCTTTCCTTCCTTCCTCATTTTCCCTAATCACAAAATATTGTCCCTAATACCTTACCTGAAACTCTCAGGGGCATATGCTTTGGAGTTCAGACATCTTTGGATATTAAAATGATATCTGTACTGGCTATCATGTGACACTTCCAGGAGTTCTGGACAGCATAATTTCTACAGTGAAATATAGGCTCAGTAACACTAAACGAGATAAATACAAACTCTGTAAAGACTAATTAGTATAGACTATATCCCAAAGAAAGGCAAGGTCAAAGAATGTTCAAGCTACTGCACAATTGCCCTCACACAATAGCAAAGTAATGCTTAAAATTCTCCAAACTAGGCTTCAACAGTACGTGAACCGTGAACTTCCAGATGTTCAAGCTGGATTTAGAAAAGGCAGAGGAACCAGAGATCAAATTGCCTACATCCCCTGGATCATAGAAAAAGCAAGAGAATTCCAGAAAAATATCTACTTTTGCTTCAGTGACTATGCTAAAGCCTTTGACTGCGTGGGTCACAACAAACTATGGAAAATTCTTCAAGAGATGGGAATACCAGACCACCTTACCTGCCTCCTGAGAAATTTGTATGCAGGTGAAGAAGCAACAGCTATAACTGGACATGGAACAAAGGACTGGTTCCAAATTGGGAAAGGAGTACGTTAAGGCTGTATATTGTCACCCTGCTTATTTAACTTATGTGCAGAATACATCATGTGAACTGCCGGGCTGAATGAAGCACAAGCTGAAATCAAGATTGCTGGGAGAAATATCAATAACCTCAGATAGGCAGATGACACCACTCTTACGGCAAAAAGCAAAGAAGAACTAAAGAACCTCTTGATGAAATTGAAAAAGTAGAGTGAAAAAGCTGGCTTGAAACTCAACATTCAGAAAACTAAGATCATGGTGGTCCCGTCACTTCATGGCAAATAGATGGGGAAAAAGTGGAAACAGTGAGAGACTTTACTTTGGGGCTCAAAATCACAGCAGATGGTGACTGCAGCCATGAAATGAAAAGATGCTTGTTCCTTGGAAGAAACGCTATGACCAATCTAGATAGCATATTAAAAAGCAGAGACATTACTTTGCCAAAAAATATCCATCTAGTCAAAGCTATGGTTTTTCTAATAGTCATGTGTGGATGTGAGAGTTGTACCATAAAGAAAGCTGAGCGTGTAATTGATGCTTTTGAGCTGTGGTTTTGGAGAAGACTCTTGAGAGTCCCTTGGATGGTAAGGAGATCAAATCAGTCAATCCTAAAGGAAATCAAACCTGAATATTCATTGGAAGGACTGATGCTGAAGCTGAAGCTCCAATACTTAGGCCATCTGATGTGAAGAGCTGACTTACTGGAAAAAAACTCTGGGAAAGATTGAAGGCAGGAGGAGAAGGGGATGACAGAGGACAAGATGGTTGGATGGCATCACTGACTCAATGGACATGAGTTAGAGCAAGCTCCGGGAGATGGTGAAGGAGAGGGAAACCTGGAGTGCTACAGTCCATGGGGTCAAAAAGAGTCAGACATGACTGAGTGACTGAACAGCAGCAGCAAATAGACTATAGAAAGGCTTGTTGCCTTTTAGGCCAGGCTTTTGTTGCTAAGCGAGTTTGCACCAACTTTATGAGAAACTTTCGTTTTAAAGCTTTATTAAAAAATTCTGAACTATAGGTAAGGCCTTATGGCTTATACAGATACATAGAGACATATATATTATATATATAGGGTGAAAATGGAAAATATAAAAAATCGCCAAAAAATAGTCACAATCCAACCATTCAGAAGTAACAGCCATCAACATTTTACTGTGTATACATATATAGAAATAAGCACATATATTAAAAGCACACAGATTTACACATGTTTGTTTACTCCCCCCTCCAGAGAAATAGGATTATCAGTCAGTCAGTTTAGTCTCTCAGTCATATCTGACTCTTTGCGACCCCATGGACTGCAGCACGCCAGGCCTCCCTGTCCATCACCAACTCCTGGAGTTTACCCAAACTCATGTCCATTGAGTCCTCTATCATCCCTTTCTCCTCCCGCCCTCAATCTTTCCCAGCATCAGGGTCTTTTCAAATGGGTCAGCTCTTTGCATCAGGTGGCCAAAGTATTGGAGTTTCAGCTTCAACATCAGTCTTTCCAATGAACACCCAGGACTAATCTCCTTTAGGATGGACTGGTTGGATCTCCTTGCAGTCCAAGGGACTCTCAAGAGTCTTCTCCAACACCACAGTTCAAAAGCATCAATTCTTTGGTACTCAGCTTTCTTTACAGTCCAACTCTCATATCCATACATGACCACTGGAAAAACCATAGCCTTGACTATGTGCACTTTTGTTGGCAAAATAATGTCTCTGCTTTTTAATATGCTGTCTAGATTTGTCATAACTTTCCTCCCAAGGAGTAAGCATCTTTTAATTTCATGGCTGCAGTCACCATCTGCAGTGATTTTTGGAGCCCCCAAAAATAAAGTCAGCCACTGTTTCAACTGTTTCTCCATCTATTTGCCATGAAGTGATGGGACCAGATGCCATGATATTAGTTTTCTGAATGCTGAGTTTTAAGCCAACTTTTTCACTCTCCTCTCTCACTTTCATCAAGAGGCTCTTTAGTTCTTCTTTGCTTTCTGCCATAAGGGTTGTGTCATCTGCATATCTGGGGTTATTGATATGTCTTCTGGCAATCTTCATTCCAGCTTGTGCTTCAACCAGTCCAGCATTTCTCATTGTGTGCTCTTCAGTTCAGTTCAGTTCAGTGGCTCAGTTGTGTCTGACTCTTTGTGACCCCATGAATCGCAGCATGCCAGGCCTCCCTGTCCATCACCAACTCCAAGA